CGTGCCATATTGGACTTGCTCTGCAATTTCGGTCAATCCACCAAAAGCCGATACTAAGGGTCATCAATTAAGAATGATATCTTCACCATATCTCTCTTAAAAATTCTACAATGCTTGCATATTCTCAACGACATCAAGAAAACTAGTTGATCAAATCGTGCAGATGGCTCTCAGCTGATTCAGAGAAATAATTATCATTCATATTCTGCAATGCCTACCCAGCAATATTCAATCTTTCCAAGACGGGATATTCGAACAATGACTCAACCATTAAGCATGATCAGCTCTTATTCCCTCCTCATCAGCGAGGAAATACACATAGCATTGATATGGCTTACGATTGATACTTCAAATCAATCCACCACTGCTTTGCTCTTTCTCCGGTCGTGACCAACGAATGGCAGAAACCGCGCTTCCAGTTCAAGAACTCCGATCCAGAGAAAAGACACCGTCGGCCTCCAGCATCGGCCAAATTTGTTTTTGAAAAAGAGGTAAGTCCGCACCCTTAGTAATGCTGGCACAGATTGAACCCACAGTATGTTTCCGTCTCACACCGCCGGCAATCGTCAACGCTTTAGCGGCGGACTCAAATCAGTCCTACCACGGACGGTCTTGACTCACAGGACAATCGGTCTACATCATGACAAGACTCTTGGCAACCTCTCCATTTCAAATTCTTATCAAGGTTCAGATGGCGTTCACCATCGGTGATGAGTTCGGTCAGCATAGCTTCACTCCGGCAAAGGCCTTTGCACCGACTCCCCTCGTAAGTAAACTCTATCTCACATCCTTCACAACCAGCACTTCATTATAATTTATTTCTATCTCACAACTTACTAAAATAACAATCGTTTGCTAATCACTTTTCGATCCCTCTGGTTTTGTGTTAGGATCTACGAAACCATCGAATTCTCTTAAGGGACCGTGCAAGGAACGGGTGTATCCTCTCCGCACGCGACGCTTCTCATCAACAAACAGCGCTTCATAGTCTATACCGCCCACAGGATACTCCGTCTGGCACGATCGTTGGGACATCCAACCATCAGACTCTACCAGATCGCTAGCACATCCGCACTTTAAAGATTTACAAAAATAATATAGACTGCAATCTTGTATCATGAACAAAAGTCATAAACAAGAATTGATACGTCTACCAGTAATTCTCATTCCCCTTTATTCGCTATTCACTCCGACGTGTGGGGTCCTGCTTCCAGTCGGTCTCACACTGGCTATTTTACCTATGTTCACATTATAGATGAGTTACACGAGATTTACGCTGAATTTTTCCTTTAAGGACAATTAAATCTGATGTCTTTTTACTTTTACGGCATTTCAAATATAGTTGAAAAACGCATTTGTCTAAAAGATTAAAGACTATTTTCGTTACGGTGGAGTAGGCGAGTATCTCAACACTCATTTATTAACATTTCTTAAAAAACAATGCATCAACACCAAGTTCTCCTGTCCTTATTACTCCGAACAAACGGGGTAGCCGAGAGAAAAACACCGTCACATCTTTTAAACAGCTCTACACTCAGGCATAAAGCCTCGTTCCTTACAGTTACTGGACCTGAGGTAGTTCTAACATCTGTTTTTTTTTTAATCGCATGACCTAGTTCGGTTGACCAAACACATCTCGCCATAATGAAATGTTGTATCCATAGGCAAACCCGAATATAATCAAGCTTCAATGACATTCGGGGTGTTGCTTGTTTCCTTTATTACCTACATCAAAGGCATCATAACTTCAGCCCAAAACTATCAAATGCGTGTTCTTAGGCTACTCTGACAGGTTATAAGGTATTAATATGCTGAATCCTCTCCCATTGCAATAATAACTATCATTTTATGTCTCGTCATGAAACATTTGTTGAATCAAATTCCTCGTTGTCAGTCTTAATAGCTCTACAACTCTGAATCTTGATTTACGATCCTCCTTTATTTTTAACCTCAATTCTGTTCTCAAATTTTCTGCTGTCCTTAAACCCTTGTATCAACACAGGCCTGGTCCGCCCAACTTTACACAGCAAACATTAGTCTATCAGCTATCTAAGTCTCAACTTCCGACTCCTGCTATCCGATCCATTACCTTATCAACCACAGCCTCAACCTCAGGGGATCATCAGTATGTTAACCCACAAAACGGTGGAACATCGGGAAAACCATTACGCGGTTAAATTCTTGATACCACTATGTGCCAACCACTGAATAAATTTTCTTCTCCATGTCTGTACCAATCTATCTAAACTTCCCCATTATAATTCGGCCTAGCCATGGTCCGAAGAATCTGTGCATCTTTCAAAAGCAAATGGCTACTCTGGGATCTAGTCTCTCCGCCTCCCAAACGCCATCTTCATCTAGGCTGCAAAATGGACTTTATTCGTATCGAAACTTACACTCTACGGATCTCATTGCTAATACTAAAAGCCGCTCTTGTTGCCATGGGAACAATCAAAAGTGAATACGGGTTGGGTTATTACACTGAAACTTTTTAAGTCCCAGTGTGCCAATATTTCCAACCTATTCGGATAGCTGCTTTAACCTTGCTCTTCACATTACTGATCTGGCCAGTCCATCAGCTGACGTGGCCAATGCCTTTCTCCACGATCTCTTCTCGGAGGACCAGTTTATTATGCTGTACAAACTCGAAAGATTCGAAGACTTACAAACAATTCCGCACCTACGTTTTTCTTCTACGCGAAGCTATTTATGGGCTAAAACAGCGCCGTGCCTAATGTGTGTATATAACACGTTCACCTCATTCTTTGATTTCTCTTGGTCTACTCTAGTAAATCGGATCCCTCCCTCTTATTTTTTAAAAATGAATCAAAATACAATTATTTTTATCATCCATTTTCGATGATTTATTTACTTATATGGGAAATAATTCCAGATGAAATACTAAGATCATTTAAGCAGCCTAAAACAACTTAATCTGTCACAATGAAGGAGCTCGTCATGTCAATTCCTTCCTGGGAATTCAGATCAAATAATAACAAGTACCTATACTTTCTCTCCCAAATAGAGTTATGCTAATTTCAATTCTCTCAAATGGCTCATCTATCCAAATTGTAAACCCCCTGTCCAATCCTACCTGCACCAAGCCGCCGAAGGATAATTCGCGTTGGATCTCATTCTTGCTGATTTCCTACGATCATACCGCAAGATTACCGCTTCACTACTAATAACTGGACTTGTAACAAGTACTAGATATCTCCACAGCGTTCAATCTTCTCTTCCCAAACACATGCATCCACCACAGCCTCAACATTGCGTTTCTTCTTCATATACGTCTTCTCCGTTATAATCAATGCGTACGCTTGACTATGGCTATTCCTTTTTCTAAATCTAATCTATGTCTTTTCCTCCTACTCGGATGCAGATGGGTTCTGGAGATCCAATCTCAAAAAAATTCAACTTCCGGCTATTGCTCGTATCTCGGCAAATTCACTTATTTTGTACGGTTAAGAAAACAGACTACAGTGTCTTCTCTATTCCCACAGAGTCAGAATATCGTGCTCTAGCTGCTCTTACTGCCGACGTCATTTGGTCTTCAGAGATGCTCACAGATTTCGGCCTCCCAAATCTCTTCCGACAGATATCTATTGTACATACCCGGCCATACCTGGCCAAACAACCCTGGTGTTTCTATGCTCGCACGAAACACATTTGATGATTGATCACCGGTTTTATTCGCGATCACATTTTCATCTAAGAAACATTCCTACTTCTACCTATCAGCTACTACAATCAGGTCGCTGACATTTACAAAATCCCTGTCAACACCAAGTATTTCACAATCTACAACCTCTAAACTGAATGTTCTCAAGGGACCCTTCATTGCCGGGTGATATAGAGTTCATACAAGATAACAGTGTAATTATAGATTGTATAGCCTTTTATTATAGCTGTCTTCATATCTGTTCACGTTGAGTACTTCTATTAAATAGAGTTGTTATTGTATAGAATAGGTGAGTATTAATAATATCAATTACTTTCTTTCCC